TGGCTACTTCAGATAGAGCCGAAGGTTGAAATCATTCACACCCACGCAAAGAACGAAGAAAAAAAAAGGTAGAAAATCATTCACAATAAGATCGCAAGTTCGAAAGAAAAATTACCTCAATTAGGGAAGGGGGAAAGCTTTGATAGAGACGAAGTGAAGGAGACGAAGAAGAAACGACGGAGATGAACTTTCTGATTGTGAGGGAGAGACCGGGATGAAGACTGGGATGGACAACGAGATAGTGAATGAGGGAGGGGAAGGACCGAGACAGGGAGGGAAAGGAGGGGAGGGCTGGGTTTGATTTCTTTTTTTAAATTGAGGGAAACTTGGTAATTTTACAAAGCAAAATAAGGGAGGGTCAGAAATCTGAGGTGGAGGGGTCAAAAATAGATAAAAATCAAAAGGGGGTCAAAAGTCCAAAGTGATTATTGAAAGGGTCAAAAATCCCAATTTCCCGTTAGAATCTCTCCTCGTACGAACTACGACGAATCCCAAATTCCCGCCAACCCTCGATCAAGGGCAAATAAATTTCTTTATCCATAGTTTCAATGACGATTCGAATTCCAAATAACCCCTAATTTGCTTCAAACATTCTCTGAAAATCCCAGATGCAGGTTCCAGTTCCGTCTATCATCACGTTAAATCTGATTTCTGAAGTTTCGCGAGCGTAATCGCTCTGTTAATTTCATCCACTTCCCCAAGTTTGTCGCTCATAGCATGGATGTGGGCGACCTTAACAAAGTCTGGGAAATCAAAGCCCTGAAGAAGAAGGCTGGCGAGAAAGAAGCGAGGGAGATTCTGGAGAGAATTGCCAAACAAGTCCAACCCATTATGCGTAGACACAAATGGCGAGTCAAGGTTCTTTCGGAATTCTGGTAAATGTTATGGAGCTTGATGCGTTTAGGTTTGGGGATTTTGGTGGACTGAGGTTTCCACCATGTTGTTTATTGTTCATTATAATGGAAGGATTGTAGTTTTTGTTATCGGTTTTTTTCTTGGATTCTATTTGAGTAAAGGAGAGAGTTGATATCTGTTTATTTTTTACATTTATTTTTGGCTGTGACAAAGTGAAAATACTGAAGATGTCTGAATTTTCGTTTAATTGAGTTTTTGTTTCAAGTAGTGATGAGAAGTTGGTTTAATCTAGTAAAATTGCCCGATATATTCATTCACTGTTATCTAGCAAAGGAGTTACCCACCCTCGGTTGTTGGTTTTATGAGTGATGATGTTCTGATCTAATATTTATCCTTGTATTTTTTAGTCTTGTGATTGAAAAGGGAAAATAATGAACTTTCACTGTTGTTTTTTTTTTTTTTTTGCAAAGGA